CACGGCGGGGCCGCCGGCCGACCCCGGGCCCGGCACCGGCCCCCGGACTCACCCGCGGCGTGGCAGACGACGACGGGGAAACACACGGCGGAGACTCGCACCGTCCGGGCAGTCGCCGTGGCCGTTACCCAGCGCTGGGTTGTAGCTCCGTGCTCCGGGCCGCGTCGTCCGGCCTCGTCCACTCCGCTGAGTAACAGGGACGCGGGCCGTCACCGCGCACGCCCGCCCACGTCATCGCGCAGGTCCCCGCCCCCGCGCCTCCCGAGCGGCCCCAGGGCCCGGATTACGGGGGCGGGGCCAGCGGTCCGGGGGCGGGGCTTCATGAGGCGGCCCTCTAGACTCCCGGAGGTCGCCTGGAGGCGGGACCCCGAGCAGAGCCTAGGAGACTGGTTGCGAGGGGGCGTGGCCCGGGAGTGAGGGGGCGGGTCCTGCGCTGGCACGTGGCGGCGCGTGGCCTCGGAATGCTGTTCCGGGAGGAGGCGTTGGGCTCCACTGAGCCAAGGCCTTCAGGGCTCCGCGCCCCGAGGTTTGAAGGTCAGGTGGCTTAGGTGGAGCCTGCCGCCAAGCTGGCACACCTGCCAGCCTGCGCACCTGAGAGCTATTTCGTTTGGCCATATGTTTCCTTCTGAAGGCACCTGCGTGGGTTCAGGCACCCACAGGCAGAGAAATGCTCTCTCCTGCTGCTCCCTAGGAAAAGCGGCCTCCGGCTTTCTCCAAAGCCACTTCCTCCCGGCTTCTTTGCATGGTCTGATTTACTGCAGAGGTAAATACCCAGCGATGGGTAAAAAGACCCATGCGAAGCAATTCCTCCAGACAAGGGGAAATGCACACCCTGCGTCCTGAAGAGGAAGACGCGTGTGGGGAATGAGTCCACGCATGAACAGTGTCTGTGCACATGCATGTTTGCATACAGGCTGTGCACATTTGAAAACTGGTTCAGCATCGGACTGTGGAGTGAAAGGTGATTGCATTCTCTTTGACTTTGATTTTCAAAAGACATGTTAGTATAAGTTATTCATTAGAGATAAGTTAATAATGAATACAGAGCTGGCCTCCCGGGCTCACTCCTGTAATTCTAGCTACACAATAGGCTGAGATCACAGTTCAGAGCTGGCCCCAGCAGCAAAGAGACATTTATCTCTTAATGAATCACCAAAACTCCAGAAATAGAGATGTGGCTCAAGTGGTAAAGCACCAACTTTGAGCAAAAAAAAAGTTCAAAGATAGCCAGGCACCGGTAGCTCATGCCTGAATCAGGAAGCTGAGATCTGAGGATCACAGTTCAAAGCCAGCCCAGGCAGGAAAGTCTGGGAGACTCTTATCTCCAATTAATCACTAGAAAACTGGACAGCGCCCAAGCCCAGAGTTCCAGCCCCACAGCTAACCAAAAAACAAAAAAAAAAGTTCAAAGACAATGCCCAGGCCCTGCTATACACACACACACACACACACACACACACACACACACACAATACCTGTTGAAGAAATAAGTAAATTCTGGTAGACTACTTTATCACTACACATAGGGCTGCCCTATTTCTAGTTATAATTAAATAGAGCACATGCAAGTATTCACTCATTCATTCATTCATTCTCTCTTCAGTTCTTCCTTTGCTCTCAGGCTTAGTTATTTCTCCCTTAATTTCTCCAATAAATATTTAATGAATGCCTACTTCTGCCATACAGTGCTCTAGCACTGCTAATGCAATGGATCGTACAGACTTAATCATGATTATATGAAAATAACTGCAAAAATCTTTAAATTATCAAGGTTATAATGCAAATTTAAAAAGAGTCATAGTATTATGAAACTAATAGATACAATTAAAATAAGGCCAGGAAAGGTCCAAGGAACTGTTACTTGAGCTGTGAACAGGTTAGACTAGAGAGATGATGATGATGACAATGATGAAGATGTTGAAGATGATGATTATTACTATTTGTGTGTGCATGCCTGGATGCTGTTCCTTAGCTTCCAGGGCTAGTGAGCCACTCCTTCACTTCTGGCTTTTTGGTGGTTAATTGGAAATAAGAGTCTCATGGACTTTCCTGCCTGGGCTGGCTTTGAACCACAACTCTCAGATCTGAGCCACCTGAGTAGCTAGGATTACAGGTGTGAGCCTCTGGCACCCAGCTAGGTAGATTATTTCAGATAGAAGTAACTTGATGTGCAAATGTCCCATGATAAAAGCCTGAGTGGGAGAAATTGAAGAGTGTCCAATTTTGTTGGAAAGGCCAAGATGAAATTAAAAATAGTAAAGAGGTCAAACCTAGAACAGCTAAACCAACCACGTTGTCAGTGTTTTTTTTTTACTCGTTGTATTTTTTGCTTGTTTCATAGTGAGGATTGAATTCAGAGCCTCACGTGTTCTCCTACTTGAGTCACGTCCCCAGTCCCCTTCCCCTAAGCAAGCCTCAAACCTTGATCTTCTTATCTGTCTCCTAAGTATCTGGGATTACAGATATGTACCACCACATCTACCTAGAAAAATAATTTCTTGAAAAGACCAAGGTGATGTCAAGAAAATATTTCTTCTTGAAGGAGGCTAAGTGAATGTAAGAGTAGTCTAGATAGCAAGTAGAGACTTGGTCTGGGGCAGGGTCACAGAAATAGCAAATGGAATGAGCTGAGACCCAGTTCGGAGACCCCCTATGCAGAGCTTTCAGTTTCTGCAAGTAATGGGTGGGTGGCAGTGAAGGTGAAGGAATCTTCAGGAACAGTCCTAAGGTTCTGGCATGGGGCCAAGGCTGGATGTTGGTTTTGGTTTACTAAGATGCTGATTTGGGAAGAGGACCATGCTGGGGTGGGAAGATCTTGACAGCAGGTTGTTTAGAGGGTTTTGAATTGCCTAAAAGTGATGCCAAGTTAGTGGGTGGATAGACAAAGCTAGACTAGAAGCGAATCCAATTAAATAAATAAATTCAGCTAAATATGAAGCACCCACAGAGACATGCCGACTCTTAGTCTTGGGTATGGATGAGTTAGCCAGGCTTGAAGAAGAGAGGGCAGTGAACAGCAACAGAAGAGAGCTTGGAGCCAGGCCTGAGGAACTCCAGTATTGAGTAACCATAAGGAACAGAATGGGCCCAGGACAGAGCTGCCATGGGGTGTGGAAGGAAAACCAGGAGACCACTTGTAGGAACACTTTGTAAAGAGATCTCAAGTCAACATGACAAGGAATATGCCTGAGGGTTTCTGAGGAGAGTAGACAGGCAGAGATCCTGGCTGATACCTCCAACTACACATCAGAAAAGTTAAAGACAAGGGAGAAGAAGACAACTGAACTCTCAGAGCACTGGTGAAGTGAGGGGTGTTGCCGAGAATAAAGCTGTAAAGTTTCATGCCCAGTTCTGTGATGCTCTTAACAGCATGCTTTGTGTAACAGGGACAGATCTTGATTCATTAGCAGCTATCATTATCAGCTTCTACCTACCTCTGTGCAGTAAAAAACATCTCACATATTTATAAATGTATGTGATAGTTTTCCTCCTGTGCTGACAATAATAAATTGTCTATTTCACAATAGCTAATGGAGAGGATTTGCAATGTTCCCACCATTGACATGATAAATGAGTCTGGCATTGGTGGGTTCATGCCCTTAATCCTAGCTACTCAGGACACTGAAATCTGAGGATCTTGGTTTAAAATCTGACCCAGACAGGAAAGTCTGTAAGACCCTTATTTCCATAACCACTAACAAGCTGAAAGTGGACTTGTGGCTCAAGTGGTAGAGTCTAGACATGAGTGAAAAAGGTAAGGGACAGGCCCTGAGTTCAAGTCCTGGGACTCATACACATAAACACAAGCACATGCGCACGTGTACGCACACACACATACCCACACACAAGAAATGATAAATGTTTGAGATGATATAAAGTACCTTGATCTGATCAGTATATATTGTATATATGTTTTCAAATACCACATTGAAGCCCATAAATATATACAATTATTAGGGATTCACTAAGAAAAATAAAAGTATTTTAAATATAGAATATAGTATTTTGAAATATAGAATTTGGAATTTTCAGGAGCTCTTTAATTCCTCTCCCAGAACACCTTCCTGAGCAGTAACAGCTTCATTTATTAGGGTCTATTGTTCTTCCTGAGCAGTAACAGCTTCATTTATGAGGGTCTATTGTTCTTCCTACTGAAAACATGTAGAATTTATTACCAGCTAAAGCTTGGCATAGCTAGTCGGTCAGTCCCATTCCAGACCAGATATGGGAGTGGGAAGTGGATGGAAGAGAGTTGGTACAGGACTAAGGAAAAGACAAAGGAAACTGACTAATGTGTGGCCTTTTAAAATAAGGGACAGTTAAACATTTAAACAGCTGTTAACAAGTGACTGCTCCCTTCTGAACCCAAAGAATTCTGTACTCCTGTGGATGCTTGGGAAACACAATCCAAGCAGGAGAGATATTAATTTCAAGCAGCACTGATCCAAATTCTCAAACCCAAACTCCAGGCCTGGGAAGGTGGCTCAGGGGTAGAGTGGTTGCCTGGCATGCATGAGGCCCTGGGTTCGATTCCTCAACAGCACATAAGCAGAAAAAGCTGGAAGTGGCACTGTGGCTCAAGTGGTAGAGTGCTAGCCTTGAGCTGAAGAGCTAAGGGACAGTGCCCAGGCCTGACTGACACAAAAAACAAACAAACAAAACACAAACTCAGCTTATCCTCCTCCTGTACTTCTGCTCTATTATCTTTACTTGAAAAGCCAAAATGTGGTTGCTGCTTTCAGTCTTTGCAAAACAGAGAGAATTTCTCTCTGTCCTTAGCAGGAATTATAGGAATGTCATAAATAGCTTGTTCTCAAAGGCAAAACCTATCCCAATACTACATTTATCCTGAAGCCAAGTAAGAGCATGCCACAATACAGATGGAGACTGTCTGAAGCCCTAGTGAGAAGATGGTATCACATAAATGAGACCAGATTTGAACATTTATTTCTCTCTGAACTTATAGCAGAGCATCAGGCCTAGGAAGTAGAATTTCCTCTGACTTTTTTAGATAGCTATCTTAAGAGGAAGACTGGGTAGGATTGAAAGAGACAAACCAGACAGAAAACAAAAACTTAAGAGCTAGTGTCTAGGATATATAGATTTTTTTTTAGGCAAAAGAGAAAAAAATACTAGAAAACACACTAAATAGAATTCCTGTGGGGGGGTGGAAATTAGTCA